TGACCGGATCACAGGAGCATTATACTCATTCATGGATGAGTTCATAGCTGAATGTGCTGTTAGGGGTGTGGGGCTTGGTTGGAGGAGGTGGGTAACTGGGGGGTGACCTTGAAGGATGCATTCTTATCCCTGGTTCCTTCTCTTTTTTTTGCTTCCTAGATGGCATGAGTTGAACAACTTTCCTCCACCAACTGTTCCTGCCTTGGAGCCAGTCAACCCGGCATGGACTGAACTCTCAGAAACCAAGAGCCAAAAAGAAACCTCTCCTCCTTTAGGTTGTAGATGTTAGATATTTTGTTCCAGTAATGAGAAAGCTGACTAACACCCAGTACTTAGAGGGAAATTTATGGAGTGGAATTATTATGTGAGAAAATAATAAAGATTTCAATCAATAAAATAAGCTCTTTTCTCAAGAAATACCAGAAAAAGAAGATCAAATTAAACCCAAGATGTACAGAAAAAAGAAAATAATAAAGATAAGCAGTGAAATCAGTGGAATAGAGATCAATTAAACTAAAAGCTAGTTCTTTGAAAAGATTAATAAAATTGATAAACCTCTATTCAGGTCAATCAGAGAAAAAAGAGAAGACACACATTAGCAGTATCAGGAATGAGAAAAGGCACATCATTATCTACCCTACAGACATTTAAAAAGATAAGGGAATATCATGAGCAATATTATGCTAATAACTTAAATGAAATGGAAAAAATCCTTGAAAGGCAAAGTACCAGAAGTCACTCAAAAGAAGCAAATAACCTAAATACTCCTGTATCTTTTAAGCAATTGAGTCTGTAATTTAAAACTCTTCCAAAGACAAAACTACAAGCTCAGAAGGTTTCATTGTGGATTCCACCAGACATGTAAGAAACAAATAATACCAATTCTACACAAGCTCCTGCAGAAAATAAGTGAGTACTTCCCAACTAATTGTACAAAGTTGGCATTGCCCTGATACCAAAAGCAGACAAAGATACAAGAAAACTATAGACAAACTATAGACAAGACAAGACAAACTATAGACAGCACATTCAGCTATGAACTCATCCATGAATGAGTATAATGCTCCTGTGATCTGGTCACTTTCCAAAAGACCCGCCTCTGAACACATGAAACTTTCAGGGGATATTTCAGATCAAAAACCATAACATACTACTTAAGCTATATACCACAAATTTTGTCTGCACTTGTGAATGCAGACACAAAAATTATTAATTTTAGAAAATCAAATATAACAATATTTTGAGCTGGGGATTTAGCTCAGTGGCACAGCACCTGCCCAGCAAGCACAAGGTCATGAGTTTGATCCCCGGTACAGGAAAAAACAAAAACAAAAACAATATTTTGAAGGGCAGTATACTATAACCAAGTGGAGTTAGCCCCAGGATGGAAAGATTGATCGAATATTTGAAAATCAATTTAATTCACTTTTTTTTTGAGACAGGATATCATTATGTAGTTCAGGCTGGCCTTGAACTCACTATTTTCCCCAGGCTGGCCATGAACTTGTGGCAGTCCTCCTGCCTCAGCCTCCTGATTGCTGAGATTAGAGGTGTGTCCACCACGTTTGGCTTCACTTTTTTTTTTTTTTTAACAAACTAAATAAAGAGATAATTTTCATAGATGTAGAAATACATTTGACAAAATTTAACAATTACTTATGACAAAAGAAAAACAAATCCTTAGGAATAAAAGAATTTACTCAATCTGATAAAGATCATCTACAAAAAAATCTGCAGCTACATTATACTTAATGGTGTAAGATTAAATGCTTTTCCATTATGACCAGAAATAAGGTGGGAATTAATTCTATCCAATTTGTACAGAGGTATTGACTAATATAAAAAAGTAAGGGGAAAGAAAAAGGTATACAAATTGAAAAAGAAAATTCTCTTTATTCACAGATAACATGGTGGTCTAGGTAGAAAATCCAAAGGAATCTACAAAACAGAATAAGTGAATTTAGTAAGGTTGTAGGATACATGGTTATTATACAAAAATCAAATGTATTTCTATATACTCATAGTAATTACCCAGGGCACAAGGAAACTTTTTGGGATAATGGAAGTAGTCTATGATAAGATTGAAAATTAAACAATACCATTTTCAGTAGTATCAAAAAAATGAAAACATGGGGAAAATTTAACAGATAGTATGTGAAAATAATGAAACAGTGCTGAGAAAAATGAAGATGATCTAAAAGAATGGAGAGATATTATGTGTTCATAGATCAGAAGGTTCACTAAGATATTAAGATGTAAATCCTCTCTAAATTGATCTATCAATTCAAAATGAAATCTAATCAAAATTTCTGTGGGCTTTTTAGTAGAATTGGCAAACTGATTCTAAATCTATGTGGAAATGGAACATGCTCAGGACAGCCAAAGCAAACTTGAGAAAGGCAAAAGTTGACGACTTACACTACTGATATAGTGATATTATAAAATTACAATAAATAAAAATGTAGATCAATAGACACAGTAGAGTATCCAGAAATAGATCCACACACATATAATAAATTGCTTTTTTGACAAAGCTTCTAAGGCAATTCAAAGGGATTCTTGGGGGAAAAAGATAATCTTTTCAACAAATGGTGCCAGAACAATTGGATATATATATCTCTCTCCTGAACCTCAGTCACAGCATATACAAAAAAAGGGAAAATGGATCATAGACCTAATGTAAGAGCTAAAACTATAAAATTTTTGAGAAGTAAACATAAGAGAATTCTTAGTTACATTGAGTTTGGCAGAGATTTCTTAAATAGGATTCAAAATGTATGAAATGTAAAAGAAAAATAACTTAGGCATAAAAATGTAAAACTTCTGTTCTTCAAACATAGTGTTATGAAAATGAAAGGCAAAACAGAGCTGAAAAAATCTGCAAAATATATCTGACAAAAGAATTATGTCTAGAAAATATAAAGAGCTCTCATAACTAACATTTTCAAAGTCCAATAAAAATGAAGGAAAAAAAAAAAGCAGTTGCTTAGTGGCACATGCCTGTAATTCTTGCACTCAGGAGCCTAAGGGAAGCAGGTAGTGGGTGAAAAAAAAAAAGATGTGAACAGACACTTCACAAAATGATAGCAAATAATCACATGGAAAGGTGCTTAACATTATTGGTCACCAGGGAAATTCAAATTAAAACCATAATAACGTATTACTATGGGCTCACTAGAATGGTCAACATTAGAAAGAAGATCATAGAAAAAATTAGGAAAGAAATAGAACAATTGGACCCCTCATTAACTGCTGCCAGGAAAGTAAAATGGTCCACTTTAGCAGTTTCCTAAAATATGAAATGTAGAACCCCACACCACCCTGCCATACCGCTCCTAACTATTCACCCCAGAGAAATAAAATACGCCTGCACAAAGTCTGACCAAGTGTTCACAGAAGTTTTAATTGTCCCAAGTGAAAACAATCAAAAGGTCCGACATTTGACATTGCATAAACACCTTGTGATAATCATACATTGGAATTTTACTACTGATACATAAAACAGGGAGACATTGTGGAAATGTTATGCTTAGCAAAAGAAATGAAATATATTAGGATCCATATTGTGTGATTCTATTTTTTAAATTTTTTTTGGTTTTTCTCTGGTACTGGGAATCGAACTCAGGACCTTGCACTTGCCAGCCAGGCGCTGTGCCGCTGAGCTAAATCCCTAGCCCCGTGTGATTCTATTTAAATGAAATTCTAGAAAAACAATTTAGAATGACAGAAAGCAAAGCAATGAGTAGGGAACTTTTCTAGGGTGATATAAATATTCTGAAACATGATTGTGCAAGGTTTACATAACTATGTGCTTGTCAAAACTATTGACTTGTATGCTTAAAACTGATGACATTTATTTATTGCGACAAATAATAAGCATATATATATATTTTTTTTGTCTTTTTGAGACAGGGTCTTGCTATGCAGTTCAGGTTGGCCTTGAGCTCACTTTGTAGCTTAGATTGGTCTCAAACTTGCAATGACCTCCTGCCTCAGCCTCCCAAGCACAGGGATTACAGGTGTGTGCCACAATGCCCGGCTCTACTGTGTGTTAATTCTATCTCAATAAGAAAAAGAACAAGGAACAAGGCACCTCTACACGGTACATAAGAAATAAACTCTAAAATTATATTTAAGTGAGAATT